TTATGACACACATCACACCTGTGTGACACACATCACACTTTATGACACACATCACACCTGTGTGACACACATCACACTTTATGACACACATCACACCTGTGTGACACACACATCACACTTTATGACACACATCACACCTGTATGACACACATCACACTTTATGACACACATCACACCTGTATGACACACACATCACACTTTATGACACACATCACACCTGTATGACACACATCACACCTGTATGACACACATCACACCTGTGTGACACTCACATCACACCTGTATGACACACATCACACCTGTGTGACACACATCACACCTGTGTGACACACATCACACCTGTGTGACACACATCACACCTGTATGACACACATCACACCTGTGTGACACTCACATCACACCTGTATGACACACATCACACCTGTGTGACACTCACATCACACCTGTGTGACACACATCACACCTGTGTGACACACATCACACCTGTGTGACACACATCACACCTGTATGACACACATCACACCTGTATGACACACATCACACCTGTGTGACACACATCACACCTGTGTGACAAACATCACACCTGTATGACACACATCACACCTGTGTGACACACATCACACCTGTGTGACACACATCATACCTGTGTGATTTTGGTTATGTTGTGTGCTCTTATTTTGAAAAGGGCTGGACTGTTGTGGCCTGACTGGGTTGTTTTCATTCTTGTTGTAGAGAAGAGTCTTCTGATTAAACAGAGATGTGTCTAAACATAATTCCAACTCTTACTGTCCCAGTTGGACCAGTTTCAAGCTGTAGCAACACGTTACGTTTCTATTAAAAACATAGTTTGAACAGAGCCACACATCCCCCAGCTGCCCACGGCTTCTTGTCTCTCCACAGAAAATAAATCTGACCAATCATGCCTTTGACAAAGTCCTCTCACAGAACAACAAAGTCCCAGTGTGTGACTGCAGAGCCCCTTCTCCTGCATGTAGTGATGCAACACTGAAAGGAAAACAGGAAACAAGACATGGAGCATGTGCAGAGAGCTTCATTTAAAAAAAAATACAAAAAATAAAATCAGGAGGATACAGCTCAGATTAGAGGTGTGGTCATCATATTATTCAGTGTTTTACCCTCAGTGTATTACAGGCCCGGTGGGCCGCCAGGCTTTACTTGCCTTCATGAGATTCATCTGTCCTCTGACTGTCTGCATTACATCACCTCAGACATGTTGGGTTCAGGTTGTAAAACAGACGAGGACACTTACCTCCACTCCGAGGGACCTCCTCTCCACCTGGACCAGTCTGGACCAGTCTGGATCAGTCCAGACTCCCGAAGCACATGGGCCAGCTCACTTTATCTTACATCATGATGATACGTTTCAGGTCTGAGTCCAGGATGACAACCATCACATCAAAACAAGGATTAAGTCTAAAAGTGGTTTATGGAGAAAAAGGCAAATATACAGTATGTAGTGTTTAAAAAAAAAAATCACAAAAATTGCATTTTGTCAAAATATAACAAATAAAACTCTTATCAATCTTTCACTTGAATGAACTGTGTCAAATATAATCATTAAAAAATCTGAAGCACTTTTTTGAGCAGTAGCAACAAAAAAACTGATTTTGAGGAAAAACACCTTAAAATGTTGAGATTTTCCCTGTGAGTTTTGTTTCTTTTTATCTGGTTAGGTTAGGGTTAACCCAACCCTAAACTTCCTCATTAAAATGAGATAAAATTAGGATTCAGACCAAATATTTATGTATTATTGTAACCAACAAGACAAATTAAGTCATATATATGGATTTAATTATGATATCAGGATGATCCAGGTATCAAAATGTAGCTTTTAAAGACAAGAATCTGAAAATGTAATTAGGTCATTTTGAACAAATTTGACTCAATCCTCATTTCGATATGATGGCTCACAGATGTCAGGTCAGATCAACACAGTTACATCCAGGTGTTTGTGTGTCTCAGCCTGGACCGCTGTCAGCACTGCTCTGTGTGTTTGAAACCTGAGGGTGGTGGAACCAAACAGTGTTTGACCAGGTGGTGTGACCCTCTACTTGCTGTGGTCCAGCTGGTACTGCTGCAGTGAACAGGTCACCGTCTACAGATTTAGGTTAGAAACACAAAGAGCTCTTCAAAATATTGAATCTGCTGTTGCATGGTCCAGATTTAAAACCAAATAATAGAATGCACCTAAAATAATGAAGACACTTATTTTTAAACAGCTAAAAGCTGTGGTTTGAAACAAAAAGAGGATCTTTAAGTTCCATCATGTACAAACAAAATGAGACTCTTATTGTTGCCCACACTCTAAAAATGAAATGTTGGATTTACTTAACCATGTTATGTTACCTGGTTCCACTTAACTGAGTTGAGTAAATTCAAAGCAACATACTCATGTTCTTTGGTTAAAAAACTGGTATATTGCTTTGAATTTACTCAACTCAGTTGAGTGGAACCAGGTCACATAACATGGTTAAGTAAATCCAACATTTCATTTTTTACAGTGCAGAGGATGTTTGATCTCTACAGTAAAATCTGGGTCTGCCTCAACGGTTCATCCCAGTGGGAAGTGACTGGAAAACCATCCAGGAGACCTCCTGGTCAGATGATCCACCCTACAGAGGAAGATCTGGTTCTTACTATCATGACCCAAACCTCATGATCACAGGTTATGTACCCCTATACCATGAGAGACACTGGGTTTTACACCTTTAATCTTTGACAAGTCAAACCCATTGTCCACTGTGATCCTAACAGAGCTGAAAGGTGATCTCTGAATTCAGTAACCACTGTAACTCTGTCTTTGTGCAGATTTCATTGTTACTCATTTTCTTTGCCAGTTTCTGGTTCACTTCTCAACAGTGTGGTTTTTCAAAATCATGAAAGATTTGACTCACAACATAAAGACTTTGGGGAAGTTGTGGGACATAAAACCTAGACTCCTTATGGCCCTAGACCTGTGGTCTCCAACTTTTTTCCTTAAGAGCTACTTTTCACAAAATATAATTGTCTAAGAGCTACTTTTGACATAATTTAATGTTAAACTTAAACTCAAACCATTGGAATAAGCTTCTTTTGCACAAAAAAAAAACATTGTCTTCAATTCACATAAAACGACCACAAAAACACTGAATTAACATGAATGTGCTTTTTGTGTTTATCCATTCATATTTTATTGTACGTCACACTAATAACTTTTAACTGCAACAGATTTGTACAAAATAACGTCAGGTGACAGGTCTCTGATTTTTTCTCCACATGGTGTACTCCAGCAGGAAGAAAGCCCCTGTAGTGACGTATACCACAGCAGGAGGGGTTCCCCAGGAGTTTGGCACAGCGTGTCTCAGGGGGCTATGAAAGATGTGTGTGAAAAGAAACGCCAAACAACCACACAACTGTGCGTCGTCTGCCAGTCGACTATACTGAGCCCTAAACTGTTTGATTGACAACCAAGGGAAGGACATCTTTAGATTGATTAGAATGAAAGTTTGTTTGGTCAGTGACAAATTAAATTTAGCTTCTCCTAATTGTTCATAAACACTGAAGAGCTGCTTTAAATGAGCTCAGGAGCTACTGGTTGGAGACCCCTGCTCTTGACCTAACAGAGCTGACTCTTATCCGAGCTGCAAACCAGCCCAGTGCCCACTGAGGTCACAGCTTGAAGGCACCAACTGAACCACATCATCCTCAAAAAGCAGAGACGAGACCCTGAGTCTGGTCTCTGTTTACTGGTCCATCCAGGTTCTGACCATCACCATGCAATGTGAAGACTCTGCTGAAAACAGTACTGAACATTAAATTTACACATTTAAATTGATTTCTGGAGATATTCAGAGGACCTTTATTTGTTTCTGTCCCATACTGGGGTCTAAACCACAACTTTATCGACCACTGCTGTGGGGCATGTGTGTCGGCAACACTGATGCAGAAATGTCTGTGTGTGAGGAACATACAGTGAGGTGTTGTGGGTATAATTTTCCTGATTTACCTTTATAAATCATTGATTCTTTGGATAAATATATCATATAGGGGACAAACACAGTGATATTTGAGAAGTGAAATGAAGTTTATATGTTTTACAGAAAGTGTGCAATAATTGGTTAAACTAAATTAGGCAGGTGCATAAATTTGGCCACTGTTGTCATTTTATTATTTCAAAACCTTTAAAACTGATTATTGGAACTTAAATTTGATTTGGTAAGTTCAGTGACCTCCATAC